CTTGTCGTGATTTTTCCAGTTTCCCAATAATTAAATTGCACTTAATAACTTACTAAAACAAACGACTGCTGTTGTTCCAGTTCACTTATGTCTTGCTTATTCTAGGCAACATAAAGTAGTTTATTATTTATCATTTCTGTACATTCTATTGCACATTGATTTAAGTAATTCTATAAAAATACTAACTTCCTACTGAGGAAATACTTTTGTTTCATAGGCATCCTGCTTACACATATTTTGTTTAAAACAATATATATGCTATCACATACGTGAATGGGAAGCTCTGCAGAACAAATATTAGGTATGTCAACATAACAAATTTAAAATGTGCTTTAGTACTGTTATAGTAACTGGTACTTTACTCCAGTTACATTTTCTTCTAACAGCTGCATAAGCCCAATGACTTCTTATGAATCTTGAGTTGACACTTCAGAAATTTTGACTTTCTGCACCATTCTCTAATGGTTATGTGCTCAAAGATTTGTACTTTAAGGAAATGTCAAGTGAAATATATCAAGCGGTAAATATTTCCATAAATTTTCCTATAAAAATGTATTTCTTCCCCTTCATTATCTTTCTCATCTCACATAGCTATGAAAATGATCTTAAATTTTTTTTTCTATAGTATAATTCAGCAGATCAAGGATTTCAATGGAATTTGACTTAGCAGTGATCACTCAAATTGTAGAAGCCTCTCTTCTTCCTATATCTTTACATAAAGGAAGCTCTAATTACATTATTTAACCATGCACTAAAAATAGCAATGCATGATAACAGATTTATATCCAAATTACTCCAACTAGCAGCTGGAAAATTTTCTAATGTGAAACGTTTGTGGAACATCAGGAAAACGGATTCCATTCAATTTTTATGTGAAGATTTAATTGTTTCACATAAAGCAAGGCATTTAAATTTTTTTTTTTTAAATACTCAGTTTCATTTTCAAGAATAGCTGATTTAAAGGTATAATAACAGCTAGTTCCATACAAACACCACAAGCACACAATCTAGTATGTAGTCTATTGTAATTAAGACCAGAAGATTCAATACCTATTGCTACTGGCCAGGTATCATAGCAACCTTATGTCATTGAATACTACTGGAAAACTGTTCAGCACCAGCAAGACTATGCTTCAGGAAAATCTACAATGGCACTACAGATTGTCAACATCTGTGGGGGTTGTTACAGAATGAACAAAAAAGAAATCCTTTAAAAAACCAACAAAGCAACAATAACAACGAAGAAAAACAACCGAAAAATGATAGGGATATGGTAGGATCATTAAAAGTAATATCAAGAAGGAAAGACTCTCTTTGTCATTAGTTATATAACTTATGCATCGACATCCTAATATCTATCCACATAAGCTGGAGTTAAAATAACACTGTTACCGCATTGCATGCATAAATCCTCAAAATATTTTCTCTTTTTTTTTTTTGACTCATTATTTATCACTAATGTTAATTTGAAATCACAACAGAATCTTAAAATAATATTTAAACTCCCAAAAATGAATTCTAGATAGTCTTCTATAAATCTGCAAAAAAAGAAAAAACAGGTTACTATGAACAAGAACCCAATATTGATTTTTCTGCGGTGCAGTAAAGCATCTCCATTCTATTTGGCTGCTGTCAAAGCCACTCTTTAACAGCTGGAGTCAAATTGCACTATTTACAGCAAGAACCCTTGTCAAGTGGACCATAAGTAGTCTAACAATACGCTATTCAAATGGCACTTTGCCGCACAAATTGCTGACTTGATGAATACCCTATGTCAATGACTAAGGCCAATATAAAAGTTTCATTTTTATGAGAGATTTTTACATTCACATACTAAGTACAGCTTTCTTGAAGAACTATTAAACCATATATTTTGGGTCTTCTGACATTGAAAATAATTAAAATCTGTTTAAATATACCTAGGGTATTTGACAATACTAATATGGATCTTGCCTTAACTGCATTTGTCACACTCATCTGTTATTGGTACTCCCACTGGCACGTGCACCACAATAAGAGAATTAAAATGGTCAAAACACCATGAAATCAAAGCATTCTGCCTTTGTATCTGTGATTCACATGATGACAAATGTTTTGAAATAAAGCCTTTGAAGCTGGTCTGCTATGTGAGGATATTTTTCTTAGGATGGAAGAAAGAGACCATTGTCTTGCAGATGGATTTTTTGTCTCAAATATATTATTAATGATTAAAAAAATGCAATAAATATTAATATTGCCTATGAAGTTCATGTGGATCACTGTACAAAGTAAGTATTTCTTACAAACATAATGCTGACCTGACAGAATAGATGGAATCCTAACATTTTCTGTTACATAAGTCTTTGAAACTGAATTTTTATGCAGACTGAAGTGGAATTTGTTTGTTTTTGGTAAAATTGGAGTGTTATTATCAATTTAGCATGTTAACTTCCTATTATACAATTTGTCAGAGAAGCAAATGGATAATGAAATATTGATTGTATACATGCATATTAAAGCATCTCAGATTTTCATGATAGTTTAATCTGAGAGGACATTGTATACAATATGGCATGAAGGCATTGAACTCACTTATATCCATGGAACTTCCACTAGCTTCATGAAATCAGATTTCAAGAATATATTTAAAGATGTTAAAATGCTGTGATTCAAAAAAGTCAATACAAACACTTGGAAAAAAACTGAAAAAAGTTTCCAGATTAAGAACTATAAAAAATGTATTTTTCTTAAGAAGCCCTTGATTTGGACTTCATAACAAAACAGCTTCAACTATAAGAAGCCACATGGTCCCTTTGTGCAGTCCATACCAGGTTTCTAGAATAACATTATGCAGACTTCCATTGTTCACTTAATTGTTACGCTCAAGTTGGCTACCTCCTATACATTTGGCCACCAGCATCTCCCACACTAATCTACAGAATCTGGTCTAACGGGGTTGGAGGTGAGATGAAATGCTGGATGCAAATAGTGGCAGAGTTTGATGAATGCTGTTTCTCCAAGTACAGACATTTCTTTGTTAGGGAATTAGACTAACATGACTGTAAGGACAAAATAGAGAAGGTGAAAGAAAAAAAAGTATGTTGTCAATCATAGCGAAGTTTAAGAGCCATCAATAATATTTTCTAAGGAGTTTTCATTAGGGCAAGATAACTAATGAACAAAGTTGAAAGATGAAAATAGAATATTTCATTGCAAATTCAGAGCAGTCAAGACACATGCCTGATCAAGAAGAGTGCTATAAATTATTACAACTCTGTCACCTCTTGTGACATTACTTCAAATTTAAAATCATGGTAATCCACAAAGTACATTAAACTCCTCACTTCACAATTTGCCAAAAACTACTTTCCCATATTCCATGAACAGCACATTCTTTTTCTTAAACACTTTGTTAAACTCATGCAATTTGAAAATTGAAATATAATATGTACAGCCAAAACACTGCTCCAAAGTCATCTATTATAACTTTGTTATTTCTCTTTGAAAAAGCTAGAAGAAATTATTCCTTTAACTAAAGTAACAGTGAGATCAGATTCTGTGTCAATGGCCAACTAGCACACCATCTGCCCCACAACATGCTCAGCAGGATTATGCTTTAATAAGACTTTTCAGAAAATGGGATCAAAAAGAACTTTAGAAATCAGACTAAGATTAGTAAAAGGTCAAAGAGAAATATAAAGAGTTGAACAATTATAAACTCAAAGGCATATTTAAATTGTAAGGACAATTAGGAAAAAGACCAGAAGAGAAAGTTTACAATAAGGACTTGGATTAAGCCATCCCTTATCAAACTGATTTTTGGAAAATCTAGTATTTTGTTTAACGCTATTTAAAGAAGGAAAAGGCCAGAAACCATTCAGAAAGCTGTTTCCACATATGAGTCGAAGTAAAGCATTTCTCATCTTCCCACGTTTATGAGCAGGTATTTTTGATCTACATTCAATGGCTTCATCTATTTTACTGCAGGGAAAAGCCATCCTGAAAAACTAGTAACTAAGAAGGACTACATTTGAACAAGCAAAGTTGAAGTCCCATTCTTAAGATTCTTTTGTATCAAGAGTTCAGTTAAACATACTTAATTCCTGGTATACAAACTAAGTGTCAGAAACGGTACCAACCTTTGTCTTTCAGTCTGAATAAGGGTTATACATATTGTATTTGAGATTGCAACAAAACCAAGGTTGTATTAAAATCTGGTTTTACATTGAGCAAACACAGCCTTTTAAAATATCTACAATAACAATTAAAAATATACACATTTAAGCAATAAATAAAAAATTACTATTGCACTTTCAACTTTATTTCTCATTTTCTAGTATATCTTGTTAGTTTTCTTGGATTTAATGGTACGTTAGTAGTAGCTACAGTAAGGTGTTTCCATCTGTTGCTTAAAAACAACAACAAAACACAATAGTGTAACTTTTCTATCTGTAGCAATTATTTAGTTTAATGATATCAGTGAAAAATTGTGAGAGAAAGCTAGGTATTTTTCCTGGCCAGATCACTCCTGAAGACTGATATATACATTTGTGGCCCAATATCTCACACAATGAACTTTTTCTTTTTTTCTTTTTTTAAAGCAATAAAGTGCCAAGTTAATTGCACCAACATCAATGAAAGGCACTTTCACTCTGTTCTCCATAGTTAACAAAACAAACACCAAGTAAAAGCTACCATTGGATAACAGAAGAAATCAGCCTCTGTAGAAGAGCAGAAAAGACATATGAGACTTTTCCCAAGACTCATCCACCTGAACTGGCACATGCAATAGCTCTGAGGGCATGACTCATAGATGCAGTCCTAATTTAGGTTTGTAAGGAGATATGCTCAAACTGTGCTCAGCAATTTGTTCTACGTAATAGTACTAAACAAATAGGAGCAAGGCTTTACAAACTTAAAATCAAGGCTATACAACACAAATGCAGGACTACACAGGGAAGGTGAAAAGTTAAAGAACTTGGATCACAATTATTTCCTCGCACATTAATTTTCATTCTTACCTTATCTGAAGATTTTTCTGTCTGAGTAAGATTGTAGATCATACCACGCTTATAAGAGCTGGAGGATTTGTATTGAACATTTTTATTTCTTCTAGACTCCTGAGATACAGGATGTAGAGAATCCGCCACTAAGTATTCTGACTCTTCAATGGAAGAAAGGATTGCTTTTGCTACTTCACCTGTTTCATGCCGTTCCAGAGTGCCTAGAGAAACACAAGTTGTAATTTTTTAAGAGCTACAGTCTTTCACAAGGCAATTTATATTAGTATATTTCACAGGAGTATGCAAGTCATGAAACTACACTTACAGATTAGCCAACTAAATCCTTGCTCTCTAGATCTTAGAAAAGTAGGTTCTATTTCACTGTATTACTACATTAAAAAAAAACCTAAAAACTTCTTTAGATGTTACTGCAGCAAATATCTTAAACTTCAGGAAACATAGGATATTCTGTATAATGTAAGAAGCTAGATGCACTTTTCAAAAGGAGAAAAGGAATTTTAGAATACGACTTGCTCAAAACTGTCATTTGTTTTCTTCCCTCAAGCCTTTGCTATGTACATAATTAACAGTGCAAACAGTAACACTTATGTAATATTTTAGTGCTGTCCTCTAGCGTTCTAAATTACAAACAGCAAGGGAAAGCTCAATTTTTTCCCTCTGAAACATTTTAAACAGTATAAACACAAATACAGCACAACTAGATTAAAAGCCCAGAATACAAACACAGGTTTTAAAGGATTGTTTCCTCACTTGTGTGGATATAAAGAATCTGATTCCCTTAAGCATCATATCCATATTATAAATAGATTTAAGTGCTGTTTCTCTAATTAGAAGAATTTGTCCCTGTTCTTCTCCAGATATTTCCTCAGTTTTACTTTTCATTCTTACCATACTTCCCCTATTCCTCCCAGTGAGTGAATCAGAAAAAAGGTAGCATATGCTGAATGACAGCTCCTTATTTTAGGCTTCTTTTATTGCAGCCAATGAAAAAGAAAAAATCATAGGGCCTAAAACCAATTAACTTCTGACAGGTGATTTAATTCTCTTTACTTCCTTCTTGCTGTATTTTTCCACACTTCATATGATTTCCTAGGTTAGTGCAAGGGAATTAAATGCTATCAAGCCAGCCATGGGGCAGGAGGCTGACATTACTAAATAGAGCAAGATTGTTTAATTTTGTTTGAAGACAGCAGAACATCTCTTCCACGATCCTGGACTGTTCATGGGTCAGTCAGGTAGCCTGAACACCACACAGATTTGCCCTGATTCCCTCTGCTTTAGGTTACATGCCCAATTAGAGTTTTCTTTCTTCTTCTTTACACATTGTACTGTGGGCTCTCAAGAATGTAATGAGGCTCAACGAGGCCAAGCGCAAGGTGTTGCACATAGATCAGAGCAGTCCCAGATATGTGGACAGACTGGGATAAGAGTCCATTGAGAGCAGCCCTGTGGAGGAAGATTTCAGTGTCCTCTCAGAGGTAAAACTCAGCATGAGGCAGCAGTGTGCACTTGCAGTCTGAAAGCCAACAGTGTCCTGGCTGTGTCAAAGCAGGGGTGGCAGCAGGGAAGGAAGGGGACTGTTTCCCTGTGCTCTGCCCTCTTGAGGCCTCTGTGTCCAGGTCTGCAGCCTTTAAAACAAGAAGGATGTGGAACTGTTGAAGTAGATCTAGAGAGCCACAGAGATGATCAGAGGGTTGAAGCATCTCCCTTTTGAAGAAAGGTAGAGAGAGCTGGGCTTCTTCAGCTTAGACTTCAGCTTTCCAGTATGTGAGGAAAGCTCATAAACATGAGGAGAACTGGTTTTCTACATGGTCTAACAAAAATAGGGCAAGAGGAAACAGCTTTCAACTAAAAGAGGAGAGATTTGTTAGATGTTGGGCAGAAATTCTTTACTCAAAGGTGATTGGGCATTGGCAGAGGCTGTTCAGAGGACTGCAGATGCCCCATCCTTGGAAGCATTCAGAGCCAAGTTGTTTTCAGAGCCTGGGCAGCCTGATCTACTGGGTGACAACTCTGCCCATGGCAAGGGGGTTGGAACCAGATCTTTAACGTTTCTCCTAACCTAGCACTCCATAATACCTTCTCAGTCCAACCCTAGCCCTAGATATGGCCTTGCTGAAAGATTCCCCACGTATTTTTCATAACACTCTAGAAGCAAAACATCAGTCTGAAGATTGCAGAACATTTAACTATAAACAATTGAAAGTTATTCATGACACAAGGAAGCACGTATGTTCAATAAATACAGCTTTAATGTTAAGTATCAAACTAATCTTGAATAGTTTTAAATCACTCCAAAAATAGTGTGGTTTTTGTATCTTTTGTACAAAAAGATTTATAAAAGATGTGATTTATTTACATGGAAACTACAAAAGATACAAAAACCACAATAACACTGTTTGACAGAACACATTCTCAGTCACAAAACATTTCTCAACAGTCACCACTGTTATCTATGCATTTTTACCAGTGATTACTGCATAGAGCCAGCATGCCATGCTCATAAATATCTGCATGACTATCCAGAACATTGTTTGACTTTCATGTTATTGTCACCACTGCTGAAATGCACCAGCCATCACCTCACATCCAAAAGTTGGTCTCCAGAAACATTCAGCAAACTTTGATGAATGTCAGTGGGTGCTATTTTACTCTATGAAGGAATTCAGTTTCACCCCTTTACTTCACCTGCACTTCTGTATCAGGCACCTTTTAGTCAGATTGCCTCTCTGCTGCCATCTGTCACATGCCAACAAAATGTAACAGCATACCAGTGCAAAGCTTCAACCTCTACTGCCATACCACCATCACCTGCCTCTGATGTCGTGGGCCAACATAATAAAATAGGAGGCATTACTTTTGGAATAGCCCTAATGTTTTAAACAAGCTCTTATATACCATGTATTTCCTATAGGAATTAAACTGTAATTACTCATTTCCTACAAATAAATGAAATAAAACATGGGAAAGATATAAAAGTATTGAATATCTACTATATCCTGAAATGTTTTTTCCTCTTAAGTTTGAATTCTTTGTAGCCTCAAGTAATACAACATGAATTTCCCTTTTCACTGCTACTCAAAAAAAACAACCATGTAACACTGAAGTTCTAACAGTAACACCTGCTAAAAAATATTGGACTGGGATTGAGGGATCTCATACCACACGTTTGTGTGTATAAAACTTCTTTATCAGAAATTATTTCTCTGAAATTCACCCATCTCTGTTAACTGTAGCATCACTTCAGTTACTTATGTGACCAAGAGCCTCTATACTCAGGGCAGAAAAAAGCAATGCAACTGACTCTTTGTCCACTACAACTCAGTTGAGTGCCATAGATTATTCTGTAATGTCACAGAGGGAAAAAAAAAAAAGAGGAGGTTTGATTCCTTTTAATATCTCATTTTATTCAACTGCCTCAGGATTTGCAGCCAGAGTCAGAGGTTGTTACAAAAGCGAATATTAACTGTAAGGAAAGCAACATTTCTAAGATCTTTGAAGTCAGATCACCTATGAGTACTTCAAAAAAAAAAAAAAAAAAAAAAAAACCCCACACAAAAAAACCCCTACCAGTTGCAAAGCTTCCAACATTATAATATATTTAAGTATTTCAGGAGCAAAACCTACATACATAAATACACACAGGATCAAGGGAGGATTATGGAATCTGTACTAGACTTGCATGAGTAAATATGCTTGAAAGTATTAGCGTATTTAGAAATAATACAGTTATTCATTTAATATTATTTTGGCCTCTGTAAGCATGCAAACAACTTCCTGCAATGTTCAGACCACAAGACAACCAAACCCAACATAAAAATAGTTCTCTCAAGTATAGAGAGCTTGGCTTTCTCTGCTATCTGCTTCTAGAAGTCTCACATCTTCCTGCGTTTTCTATATTGTTTTTATCTGTGCAATTCACTAAATATTAAATACTTTGAAATAACAATAAATCTGTGAGGTTTAGATTGTGATAAATAAATCCTCAGTAAATAAAAAGAATTTTCAGGGCCTGGTATTAAATTTAATAAATAATATGTAAAATCATGCCTTAGAGCTTCAAATACGCAAAACAGGCTTTTGCTAGCTGCTGGTGAACCTGAATATACCACACCATACACAGTCAAAGGAATACAGTAGCTAAGTGGTTTATTCTAGAAACAGTCTTTAGATAAATGTTCTCCAGATATGAAGGAAAAGGAAGTTGAAGAGCAAGGTGGTAGGAAAGAATATAAGTGACACAAGTCCCAAACTTGTATTTTAAATAAAGAAAACCTAGAAATTTTATATTGGGAAGTATAAAATGACAATGGATGAATGAGAAAAGATAGTGTTTTCTGCATAGCAGCATCACTACTGCTGTGACCCCATAATGCACACACAAAATACAGGAAAAGTCTCTCTCAGGCTGTGACCATGGCAACCAAGTCTCCTGAACAGACAAGAGTGGAGTATTTCATCCTCCTGGGCAGCTTTGGACCACTAGATGTGACTAGCTACAGACTATTACAACATCTTATTCTTCTTCTGGACCAAGTAGTACAAATTGGGTCTCTGGGTGTTAGTGCTGTCTGTGCAGTTCTCTGGATTCTGCTCTTACTGAATAATGCATTTTTGCTGGGGAGGTCATGCATATTATGCTGCTGCAAGACGAGGCTTTCACTGGCATCACATGACCTGCCATATCATCAGGCTCCACTGCTTTCTGTTCGCTGTCACAGCTCAAGTATTGAAAAGACATTCTCAGTATTGCAGTGCTACTGTGACCTAGCGACTCAACTGAGTCTCATAGCATAAGTAATCTGTGTGCATGAGAAATGGTTTTAGAATTGATTTTATTCTAAAAGAACACGTAGTCAAGAATGAACCTTTTTCTTTAAATTTACTAGTGTCCAAAACAAAGAACATCTCACATTTTGGACCAAGTATCACCTGCCAAGTATTAGCTGTTTCTCAGTGTTTTATTTTCTGTCAAGATAGTCCTTTCACAGAATCAATGACACTTTCCATCCTTTATCATCTTAAAAACTTCCAACCACATATTTTCTATTCTATCTAGTAGAATCAGAAAAACAAATATTGCATTCCTCACAAGACTTCTATTGATTTTAAACAAGTCTACTACTCTCCTTCAAGACCATTCCAGCACTTCACTTGGGAGGGTGGGAAAAAATCTCAATTGCTAGTTCTATTGCTAATA